TTGCTGTGTCACGCTGCCTTCAGGTTTGGTGATTGATCACCCGTCAATTGCAGACATGACTTTCAGCTTTGGACCAGGCTTTGATCTTCCTTCTATTTGTACTTTTTTTTTTTTTTAGGGTTGGTATTCTTTTTACTTTGTTAGGGCTCTTGTCTGCATCTTCAGCCATTGGTGTTTGAACTCCATTTAATCAGGACAGGCTGGGGCTGGAGGTTGATTCCATCATCCATACATACCTCATTCACACATATAAACTAATAACATTACAGCAGGGTTTGCAAAAATGAAGGTTGCAGCAAGCCCTTACAAAATGGAGTCAGCGTTTTAAAATGGGGTGTGAATTACAATATGGCAAACAGTGAACAGAAGTTACACTGTAGGCAAGTGTAATAATGGTGAACAGAAGTTACAATACTGAAACAGTGCAAGTCTCCGTGATTTAAGCAGGAATTGGATTGACAGTGAAACTTACAAAGGCAGCTGACTGAACAGCTATGGCTCTTAACAAACATCTTAATTGTTAATTAGCCAGTTATTGGGGTAACCGGTTTTATGAATGAATATTGTTTCATTCATAAAACTTTACTTATGAAGTTACATTAATAAAGTGAACAATTAAAAACAATTTCATCAGTTCTACCTTGGCACCAGGCTGGGATCCGGGTGGAAGTGCTGGAATGGAAGGTATGGCGTGGTGGAGGGGAAGGATGCTGGCCTATAGTTTTGGGCCCCCCACCCACAAATTTGGACCCTGGGTGGGTTGCAAAAGACACTGCGGTGGATGAGTCACCTTACTAAAATATTTGGGAACCACTAACCTAGACTCTTACAAATGCAGTGCCTTGGCTCCTACGGTTTTACAGCGAGGGAACTGCGTAACAGTGGCTTCACTGTGTGTTTTCCAGTGAAGGCCAAGCTGGAGAGCTCCATGGCCAGCTAACAATGGCTTAAAACTGCACTAGAATTTTAACACTGGTTACCGGGTTAGCTTCACAGGAGTTAAACACAGCTTTAGTGATCTTCGTTGGCTACCACACTTTAAAAAATACCTCTTTGCCATCCACTGGGCTCGCCTAAGCTAGGCTGAGCTGGAAATGGAAGTTTTAGGTCCCAGCCCTTCACCCCCATCCACTAGGTTTCTGTGGCCATCTATTAAAAGTGGTCCTTTTGGTAGGTGGTAACAGATGTAACTGCGCCTGTGGATGGCTTATTACTAAAAACCTACTCCAAGGAAGGTTTGTGGGCCCCCTCCCTCCAGACTGACTGTTTCAAAGTGGAGTACGTTTTAGGTCTCAGTTGTATTTGCTGTTCAAAGTGCCTGAGCTAATTCCCAATTAGCACCCCTTCTGAATAGAGCATGTCGTGAAAGGATAATGGGGCCAATCCTCTCCTAACATTATGGTGCCTTGAGTACCCCATGAGATCAGACTAATGGACTTAGCTCTGGGGAAGCTGCCATCTGGGCCTTGCCCTGGATTTTAACCCGTAATAGCCGTTCTCTAGCACACCCTGCCCCCTGCTCTGTCAAAATGCAATCCCAGGCTGTGACATGGGCAAAGGGGGGAGGTGTACGTTACCTCACCCTGGGTGGTGCCGCATCAGAGCTAGACAGCCAGGTGTACTCAGGTGTGACTCTTCCCCCATTACTCTGCTCAGACACCTGCCAGGCTGCAGATCTACAAGCATGTGGCTAGTACAGCCCAGGCCTTCTCTAGGGCACTAGCTTGAACTCAAGCTACTCTCCTGGCAGCCGGAGGATGTGTGCAAGACAATCAGGATGGTTACAAACGTGTGTGTGTGTCTTGTAAACATGTGGGCAAAATCCTGGCTGAGTGAAAGCAAACCCTGTGTTGGGCCAGGCTCTATGAATGCTCCTCCTAACTGGAGAAACAAATCCACTTTTACTACACTTACACCAAATCAGAAGGGCAAATTCCCACTTGTTCCTATTCTCAGAAGCTGTTGCCGTTTCTCTCTGTGTAAACGCTCTGACCTCCGGGTGCCTCTGTACCGAAAACTTACAATAGCTTTTCTGCACCAAAAAGAACGAGGCGTACTTGGGGCACCTTAGAGACTAACAAATTTAGTGCACCAGTGGCTGAAGCATCTAACCTGCAAGCTTCTGCTGTTGATTGCCTTAGCCTCAATAGGCAATTTAGAGGTGGGCAAACTACGGCCTGCAGGCCACATCCGGCCCACGGGACCGTCCTGCCCGAGCTCCTGGTCCAGAGGTTACCACCGGCCTCGCCCCTGCTGTCTCCTCCCCCACACAGCCTCCGCTCACTCTGCCGCCGGTGCAATGCTCTGGGCTGCAGGGCTGTGAGCTCCTGGGGCAGCACAGCTGCAGAGCCTGGCCTGACCCGGTCTCTGTGCTGCGTGGTGGCGGTGTGGCCTGGCTGTAGCGCTGCCAGCCACCGGTGCTCCAGGCAGCGTGGTAAGGGGGCGGCGGGGGGGGGGGGGAGCGTTGGATAAAGGGCAGGGGAGTTCAGGGTGGTGGTCAGGAGGCGGGGGTGTGGATAGGGGGCAGGGCAGTGGGGAACAGGGGGTTGAATGGGTGCAGGGGTCCTGGGGGGCAGTCAGGAAGGAGGAGGGGTTGAATGGGGGGGAGGGGTCCCAGGAATGAGAGGAGGTCTGGTGGGGGTCTGGTGGGGGTCAGGGGACAGGGAGTGGGGGTGTGTGGATGGGGCAGGGGGCAGATAGGAGGTGGGGGCCAGCCCCCTCCCCCAACCGGCCCTCCATACAATTTACGAAACCCGATGCGGCCCTCAGGCCAAAACATTTGCCTGCCCCTGGGCTAAGGGTTCTGCTGGCACCTGTTGGTAGATCTGCACATTGAATTACCA